TGATAGTTTTTTGTGAATTTTTATGTTTGTAGGAATTTGGTATACGTTTAGTTGAAGTAAACGTGCATGGAAATAATTTAAATATCTGACAATAAGTATTTGTAATGGTTGCGGTATGAATTCGTTGGTGACGTGTATAATGTAATAGATGATTTAGAGGTAAAAGTTTTTGGATATTTTATTTATTTTATATGTGGAAATGTTCATATTTGAAAAGGGTAAATACTTTTTCACGATCAGGTAATTTCATATATGTTCTTTTTACCGGGTTTAAAGATTGAGAAAATTGTCATGTATTTTCGTGAAATTTTTCTAATTTATGAGAAAAAAGCAGTGTACATGGATATAGTGAAGAGTGTGTGCAATGCCATTTTTGTGCAATTCTGGGATGTTTTTTTAAGTAAAAATAAGTAAGTCGGCGTGTACATGGTTTATGTGTATGTGTTATTTTGAAAAACGCGTAAGGACTATGGTATTGTGCACTTTTTCCCAATTTTGCAGTGAATATTTGTCATGATTAAGCAGTTTTGTTAGATAAAATTTCTAGCATAAGTGTAATTCGGCTAGTAGATTGTTGGAAGAAGTGTTCAGTAGATAAAAAGAAAAGAAACATGTCTTTACTTCGTGAAGACAAAATGGCGGCGGGAAAAAAAAATAGAGGATTGCTGTAGGAGAGTTGGTCGCCAAAAAAAACGCCAAGTTACCATAATGTAAAGATCAACCGAAACATGTCTTTACTTCGTGAAGACAAAATGGCGGCGGAAAAAAAAAAAAAATAGAGGGTTGCTGTAGCAGAGTTGGTCGCCAAATTTTCGCCAAAAAATCGCCAAGTTACCATAATCCAAAGATCAACCCACAATTGTTCTTTGTTTCATATTTTTAATTTGAGAATTTCTGCATGCCATCTTACGAGATTTAAACTGATGATCTATAATCCGGAATCGCCGAAGTCCCGACGAGTCCGGATTAACGACTTTTGACTGTAGTTAGCATTCTTTCTGCAGAGCTCATTTTATATTTTTACAGAACTTTTATGCAGAAATCATTTTGAAAATGAGGCTGTGAAATCCCAGACTGCACATGAGTAACAGAGATTAATAGCTCTTGAGAAAGATACATGGGTTGAAAAAGATCTGGATATTATCTAAATGTTAAGAACAGCAAAATCTTTGTCAGCAGGAATTGAAAAAATGTTTTCTACATTTGGAATCATATACAATGTATTTAGAAGTCAGGTTCAGCAGAACTTTTTTTTTGTGTGTGTGTCTTTAAATCACTGAATATAGTGGCAGTGATGTAGATATAATGAGATTACAGTTTTGAAAAAGTTATGTAGATTGCAAATAAAAATGACGTTCCTATGATTGTAACTGTTGTTCTATAAATGCAGAACACCAGCTAGCTCTAAAAGAATTTATTAATGGAACACAGAAACACTTAAAAAATATATACACCTAACATTTAGAATTAACATTCGAGTCACGGAGACATAATATTGGAGAAAACATTCTTTGTTATTATAGTAGACAAAAGCCCTAGTGGATGAAAGTGCATGTAAGAAAGCCCGTAAAAAAAACCCTACTGTGATAACTGCCCACATGACAAATCTGCATGGGCTGATAATATAGTATAACTGATATTATGTAGCAAATAAATCAGAATTATGTGGTGAAGAATCAAAAGGCAGATATGGACACTGATTTCAAATGACAAAGAAGATATATCACCTACGAAAGTTCTCGCTTTATTAATGTTTAAATGTAGTTTTTAGTGGATTAACCAATTATTATTTCATTTTAACTTCAGAATTATATATGAATTTTTTATGAAGAATAAGAATATATGACAAAAATTGGCTCTACTCTTATATACGCCCTAAGATCGCCAAATGTGGCAATATGTGTTCTGCACTGGTTTTTGGCACGATTGTGTGCTGTGCGATGGTTTTGGGGACGTTGTTGTTAGTATGGCAACGCTTTTGACGTTGAAACTTAACTCTTTTGCTGCAGTGGTTTAATTGCTTGTTGGTTCGTGTCATGCGTGTTTTGAAATAGCCTGTGTTGCAATGAGACGTGGTGGCAGGATTTCAGTCACATATTTTAGATTGTGTGCAAAGTAAATTTAGTATTAAAACGTACGATGTTGGAGCTGTTAGCGAGTCTTTTGTTCACATGTGTGTTTATGCGGATCAGAGTGCATTTTTGGAATTTCTATGGGAGTCAGGACTTATAAAATGGAGTCTGGCGTGTCTGAAATGCGGAGCTGATATGAGAACTTCGACGAAGAATGGTGTTTCGGTACAACTCTGATATACGCCCTAATTTCACCAAATGTGGCGATATGTGTTCTGCGCTGGTTTTCGGCGCGATTGCGTGTTGTATGGCAACCCTGTTGACGTCGAAAAATCTTTCGCTGGAGTTCGTTGGTTCTCATCATGCTTTGTGTCTGAGAAACTAGGGGGGAAAGATAAAATGGTGGAAGTTGTTTAATTGAAGTTCGGCAAAAAATATCGTCGTGGCCATCCTGTTGAGGGGCAGTGGGTATTTGGAGGTGTGGAAAGAGGGTCTGGGAGATTATTTTTAATGGCTGTGCATGATAGAAGTAGGTATTTGTGACTTTATTTATTTGTGAACCACAGTATGAATTTTCTGGAGTGTGTCTAGCTGTCATGTAAATACGATAGTGATTACGTGGCGGCATGTTAAAGGCGGTATGAAATTGGTATTTTTGCTGTTCGGAAAAGCATTAATTCATGGTGAGTGGATTTTGTTTTATTCTTGTTCTTATTTTGTAGAATGTTATGTTCATTGGTTCTTTAGTATGAATTTCTGTCATTATTGTTGTTTTTGAAACAGAATGCTGTGTACATGGTATTATTTGAAATTTATTGTTGTTATGTTATTTTATTAAAGCGAGGTGTGCGTAGATCGTAGACTCGTTCCTTGCCTAAATTGTGCAATTCGTAGATGTTTTTTTAAGTTTAAACAGGATGCTGTGTACATGGCATTCTTTGAAACGTATTGTTCTTATGTTAATTTATTAAAGCGAGGTGTGCGTAGTTCGTAGATTCGTTCGTTGCCTACATTGTGCCATTCGTAGATGTTTTTTTAAGTTAAAACATACTGCTGTGTACATGGATTCTTGTCAATTTATATTGGTTAGAAACTTATACCAATTTTGGTTAGAAATTTTACGTTTTTGCTATCTAAAGTTTTTGTTTCGGATTTTTAGTTTAAATCGTGTGTTCAAAACGTAGTTTTTGCATGTGCGAAAACTGCATTTTTGGAGACATTTTAGGTTTAAAGTTCGAAATGTAGACAAAAAATTTAGATAGTAATATGGCAGCGTGAAGTTTCTCGCCGAAAATGTTTGGCGACTTGAGGGCGCATATCAGAGTAGTTCCGGTGTTCTGATAGACTTGTGCGTGTTTGCAGTCAAATGGTTGCTGGTAAAGTATGTGGCTGTCAGCAGAGTTTAAGATTTGGATCGTGGTTTTCGTATGGTAAGTTAACTTTGGAGGAAGTTTTTATCGTTACTTTCGAAAATTTGAATCGCAGAAAGACGTGCGATGTAGAAAAATCATGGCACTTTTGTTCACAGACATTGTGTGACTGGTGAAATTTTATTCATGAATGTATTATGGTATGTGCATTTTATTTTATAGAATGTTATGTTCATTGCTTTTTTACTATGAACTTCTGTTGTTATGGTTGTTTTTTTAATTGTTTGTAATTAATTTTAGTTTAGTTTGTTGATTTGTGCACAATGCCTAGATTGTGCAATTCGTAGATTTTTTTTGAAGTTTAAACAGAATGCTGTGTACATGGTATTAGGGTAGAGTAGACTTTAAGGTACACCTGTATTATGGCGAAATTGTTGTTTGATTTATCGCCAAGAAGTTGTTTCATTTATGGTAGCCTGAGTAGTTGAATGCTATGGAAACCCTATTGTGACATAATCGGGTGCATGATTCTGGGAAATTTTGAATCATGGGATGTTTTGTAAACGTTTTTGTGGTGTGTGTTGGTTGGATTCTTTAGACGGTAGAATGGCCGAATGTAGTAAGTAGTAAAAGTTCTAGTATAAGCGTAATTCGGCTAGCAGATCGTTGGAAAAAATGTTGAGTAAAAAAAAACATGCCTTTACTTCATGAAAACAAACAAAACTAGCAGGTTGCTGTAGCAGGGTTGGTTGCCAAATATTTGCCAAAAAGTCGCCAAGTTATCATAATCCAAAGATTAACCCTGATTCTATGTCCAAACAATGGCCTGCTTCATCATAAATCATGTGTAATTCTTGAGTACACCTGTCACTGCTATACTTCTCAAGCACGACTGTTTACACTTAATTTTCCTCAAAAACATTTTGGAGAATAGAATATGGAGGGTCATTTATTTCTTTGCAACTAATCCTGACAATTTAAGAAAGTTTACAGATTGAGAAACTGGAAGCGCCCCTTATTCTGCAAATACTACAATCACAAACGTGTTAGCGCCCCTTTTTCTGCAAATACTACAATCACAAACGTGTTTCTTTAATCTTGCATTTTAACCTATGCCGAGTGGCACATGATATATGTACATATAACATATTCTGCTAAATATTTTAGTGATCATCACTGGTTCAACTTTCAAACTTGATAACCTACGCTGACATTTTCCCTTAAAAACTTACTTTTTAATAACAAATAAAAAATATCCACATTACATCAAACAAATTTATAATTACACTAGATTATGTAGATAATAGGAAAGACACATTATTTTGTGCATGACAAACCATCAAGCTTCCAGTACATAAGATGCTACTTTTAAACTACTTTTCACTAAGTAAAATTAGGTAAAAAAGGAACCTTCATTTCAGGGAGCTTTTGAATAATATTCTACTAATTTCAAGGAGGATATGACGCAGGTTTCTGTTTTTCAAAAGCAAAAATTTTGGTTTCTGAAGAAGAGGAGTTCAATATTATATTATTAAACTACATTAAAGACTATACATACCTATCATTTAACGCTTTAACCTTATGTAACATCAATAACACAAAAAACAATTTAAGTTGAGTTGTAAATTTTCTCCTTATGATTGAAAAACATTTCTTTTTCTTTTTTAGTATTACAACCTACTTTACTAATGTAACGACATGAAGAATTTTTTAAAGAGTGATTTATGTAAACGGTTATTTTATTCTATAAATAATTAATAATAAATTTTATTCTATAAATAAATCAAACATTCACAGGCTGCATGGGACCTACACGAGTTATGTGAGCCTTGGCGCCGCTACGGGTTACTGGACCTTGCACATATAATAAACGCAAGTAGTCCGTCACAATTATGTACAGACACACGCCAAAGGTGTACGGAAAAGTTTACCATGACGTCACTGGCTTCTGGATGGGTTACAATATTTGGCTTTTTATCATGTTTCGCGGTGAATTATGGCAAAGATTAACAATTTATCGTGCGATGTAAACAAACATCGAAGATTTCTTGTTAGGGTGCAAACGTTGTTTAGTCAAAGAATATCTTAGATATTCGTGTTGTAGTGTTCGCTTATTAATAAATTTCTTCTGGTGATAATTCAGTTAAAATCACTGACAAAAGTTTGATAGGACAGTGAGAACTTCCATTGCAGTGTTCTTTGAATTAACATTTATTTCCTGCTAAACGTATTATAAATAAATAAAGAACAAAACAATTTCAATTTTTAATATCTCTGTTAGCACTTCATATAATTTTTTAGTGGTATGAATAAATTTGTGCATATTGATTTAAAACTATTACCATCAGGGATACAAAACTGAGTTTTTTTTCCTCTTACGAAAGCACTGAAACTGTTTAATTATAATAAAAATACTATTTTAATACTGAATTTTTGAACGCATTTTTTCTGTTGATAATTTAGTTAATAATTAAAATGACTGTGCTTTCGCATAATTTAACATCATTTGTGAAGTGAATGACACTAAATTTCAGATGTGATGTGATTTTTAAATTGTTTCTGCCTCTTAAATAAAAATTTATTCTAATGTTTTGCGAGTTTTTAAGTGTATCAAAATGTCAATTTCCATCGGCATTGTGCAGAAACATGGGAAATTGATCATCGTTTTGTAATTATTATGTCATTTAATGTGAGCAAATGTATTTGATTTTTTTCTTGATGAATTTGAATTATGAAAAAATAACGTATGGTGTAGATGATGACAGAAATTTTAATGAAGAATTTAGAAACTGTAAGATGAAAAGAATTTACCTTTGATGATTCACAAATGCATGTCACAAAACATACTTCATAAGTATGCCGAAGTTTTATTCCTTGCAAAAACATGATATCTATTATTCAAGTTTGTGATCAGAGAATTATTATAGAGCAATGAAAGAATATGATCTTCGTGAGGGGAGCGGTATTCTTCATATATGAGGAAAATTTGGAATTTTATTCCTTGCAGAAAACATGATATCTATTATTCCAGTTTGTGATTAAGGAATTATTATAGAGCAATGAAAGAATATGATCTTCGTGAGGTGAGCTGTATTCTTCATAATGTGGAAAATTTGGATGAAAGTGCAAATGAATTAATAAGGACTAAACTCCTTGGTGTATTTTCTGCATCTACTAAATACATATTTTGAAACCACGTTTCAGAAAACACAATAATGAAATGTTTTAAGCAGGATAACTTTTACTGATGGAAAAATCAGTGACTTCCCCAAACAGATCCAAGTACAAAATATGAAAAAATTGTCTTCGAATATGATGATGCAAAAACTTTCTTACTTCACCTTATTATTCCTCAAAACTGTCTCACCAAGTGCTCATAAACTGTTCATGAATGAAATTTTTCACGACAACTGCATGCTGTCCACTATTATTGAATATTTAGCTCTTAGTTCTTAATGAAAGTACCTGTGGAAGAAACATGCAATTTTATATTTCTATTATACATCCATTTATTTAATTCGTTAAACTGTATTGCAATTTCCTTGGGCATATTTCTCATCATTTAACTATTATGATTCAGTTTTTTCTATCAACATAGATATGGACAAATGTAATGATATGCAAAACAGCACGTGCTTTTTTGTAGAAAATGCAATCGAACTTCCCAAAGAGAATAAGCTCTTACTTAAATAGATTTGTTTCATGGGAGTGGTTATCTAAGAAAACATGCTATTAATGATATTCTATTATCAGCTATTAATTTATTTTATATCAAGTATGCTAATCATTTGCAAAGGACCTTTTCACATAAATTTTCTCTCCGTTATACATGTATAAATCGACTAGTTGAATGCTTTGGCATAATCAATAAAGTATTACTACTTGCACAGTGATGTTTTGGTAAAAGTATATTTGCGAGTACCCATTTGTGATTTTTTGGCACATGTATACCTCGTTTGTGCACATTGACCTACATAAATGCGACACGAAAAATTACAAATTATGATCAGAACAAGAGAGAGTTATAATAAAACATTGGTATAACAAATACATTTGTTAATGGAAAAAAAACATCACAGATTGCACAAAATAGGCATTGTGCACTGCCTTGACTTCTTTATCCATGAACACGTTGACCTATTTTCACTTAAAAATCACCAGAGAATTGCAGAACTTGGCATTGTTCACTCCCTTGACTTTATTTACTGACTGAGTATATTTACGGATGTACAGAACATTCAACTACTCAACAATCAACATAAATGAAACAACAACTTAGCGATAAACAAAATAGCTTGGCAATAAATGAAACAACATCTTCGCAATAATACAAGGGGCACCCTTCAGTCTACTCTAACCGATGCTTTATATAATTGCCTGTACTTATGATGAAATGATACTGTAGCTTCCAGTTACAATATTTTATTAATAATTATTTTATTTTGTATTAAGAACATGTATAGTCTTCACTGTACCTTTATGTACCTCATCTTTATGATATGCGTTGCTATGCTTAATTTGACATTTTTATATCTACTTTCTATTTTAAATATTTTTCCTCCTCTTTTTTTCTTTTTTTCAACTCCTTAAAGGATGGGTCTTTGGAAGAAAAAATTAATGTCTCCTAAAGTGTCATGTACTGTTCTCAAAGTGGGCTAGTCTTTTTTTTCCTACTTTCTTATTTTTTCTTCTGCTTTTTTATTTTCAGCTTTCTTGCAGATAATCTTTTTAGCTCAAAGGGGCAATTTGCCCAGAAGGGCTATTAATTTTGTTTTGGCATTTTGCGTTGATTCATTATAAAAGGTGAATCACTTTTTCAATTGTTGCACCAAATATTAGAGTATTATATTTAAAGAAGTTAAATAATGAAGAATCTGCAAAATGTATGTATGTTTCTCACGTTGTGATAAAACAACTGTGTTTTAGGGCCATCAAAATTTTGAATAATGTATGTCTCCATTAGAATATGGGCATCTGGAAGCCCTAATTTGGAATTTGTTTTATCTCTATTTCATATCTTTGTAACGCATTTATAAGTCTTTGATTAGAAACTCAATGATTTCAAAAGTGAGCAATAGCAACTCTGTATGGGAGGAGGGAAACATTTTTATCTCCAATGTGCGAGACTGTGTACTGGGATTCGAAAGACATGCTTTTATTATCTATTTCATATCTTGTAATGCAGTTATAAGTGTTTAAGTGTGAAGAACATGATATTTAATAAATAAAGATAACACACAAAATCTTAAAAAAAAAACCCTCAGGGCGTAATATAAAATCTGAAAGCTTTCTGTGTTTTTTTATTTATTTATTTATTTATTTACTTATTTTCAAAAAGTAGTCAATGATTGATCATGTTCAGATAAATGACTTGGTGGTTTCACAAAATGAAATTTGCCGTCTGGTTCCGAAACGAAACATGTAAAACAGATCTGATGAATTGGAAACGGATGAGTAATTACACAACGAGATGTCACTCAAAAGTTGCACTAAATGTATTTAATATGATACATAATTTGCTATTTTATTTTCTTTTATATGAATTGTTGATAAATTATGATTAGTCATGTATAACTTCAGATTGAAACTACTTGTGAAATCAGGTAAGGTATGAGGATGAATATTATTAAATTATCGTACCACAACTTAAGACGTATTTCATTTCTTAAATGAGTTGAATGAAAAATTTAAAATGGGTGAATTATCTGTTTTTTTGGTACATTCACTCTGCTTAAAACAGATTACAATATTTGGATTTTATTTTGCCTTGTGATTTGGTGCAGTTTTTTAATCAAATCAATTATTACTTACTACAAAAATTCAAGAGGGAGGGTCATACACGTGAGCTATAGTACAATGAAATAATAAATATACAGATATTACATGATTTGTAAGTTTTAAAATGTTTTATTCTGAACATATTACAGATAAAAAATGATTACTACATGAATGAAATAAAAGTTCATCAAATTTGACATAATACCATAAAGGTCATTGTGTGTTCCTGTTGGTACAGGACACATATCGACCGGGTATCACAATTCTATTCACAAACATAGTAAAATTTCCCTGCTGATGGTCATCAAAGGAGCTATAATGCAGTCTTGGAGTTTTGATATTATTAGCAATAGGAGCATATAAATATAGTCTAAAGCACATTCCAAAAGCAAAAGATTGCGGAGTGTATGGTCAATGATCTCATGGTCATCTGAACAACATTGAGTCATCTTCTGATATTGATCAATCCAAAAAAAAAGATAGAAATTTATTATTAGGTAATACAACAGTTTTCAGAGAGGAAATGTGTATTTTTCTGAATCATATTTCATTTAGAGAAATAACAACTATAACGTATTAAAATCTGACATACCTTTTACAGTATTTCTGTAGAAAAAAAAGGACCCATATACCTTTATCTGTGAAATGACATATAAAATGTTTAAGTAAATATAATTTCTATTCAGTAACAGCATGACAATTTTCCATGTCCAGTATACAAACGTACCTATCCAACAAATGCTTCACCACTAGATATTAGCTGAGTGGAAGAATTGTCTTCCATGCATATGATTACAAAATTTATATTGCAACATCTGTAAATAATATGGTTTTAGTTGTAATCTACATTGCAAAATCTTCCGTATGTTTAGTTATAAAATACATGTTTGCTACTAATGTAATTTGTAGACCTTTTGTGGATTAAATGCAGTGG